CTATCTCTCAGTCCTTGAGAAAGAGAATAGGGGCTTTTGAGCTTAAATGTTATAGAAAGATTCTCAGAATATCTTGAACAAAGAAGATGAGAAATATTGACATCTTAAAAGATCTGAACATCAAAAAAGATTGGCTAATAAACAGCATTCTTTCTCGAAAGCTGAAATATTTTGGTCATATCAAGCGCCACGACAGATTGGAAAAAACTATAGCAGAAGGCATGATACCAAGAAGGAGGGGCAGGGGCCGACCGACACGAAGATGGGCACAGATTATAGGTGACTCCTTGAATGTGAAAATACATGAGGCGGGAGAACGCGAGAGACCGAGTTTCTTTCAGGCAGACTGTGATGAGAGCGACGTTCTGCAAAGGACCTGCTACATGATGAAAGTAAGGGCCCGGCTCTCTAGCGTATTTGGCTAAATCGGATTGCGCGGAGACCGGGTGACGAACTCCTTGTGGTCCGGATTCACTCTCGGAAGTAGGCAGAAAAGCCACATTTTCTCCCAGATTTACGGTATTTACAATGGAATCAAGGCATAAAATTTTCGATAATACCAAGCCTAAGGGTTAACAACTCATAGCTTTTGGATACTAAAACAAACAAGTAAAGTAAGGATCCGTTAGGCGCATTGCGCATATGGGATGAGCATCCATATTAAGTCAGACCAATCGGCAATAGGCCGACCGTCTTTCATTCCCCAGGACTTACATCCTGGTATCCGTTTTTGGCTGGGTCGACCTGCGACGCCCCATTCCATGATAAAAATCCATGCAGCCAGCAGTGGGTTTCGATCGCGGCACGCTGGAAATACAAGTCGGACTCGCAACGCCTAAACCACGTACGCCGCTGTGGAATAGTAGAAGCTCCATAGAACAGTTCTTCTTAAAGTGGACGTTTGAGAATGCTTCAATGGATGGGGCAGTCGAGGGGGTGGTAGCGCCAGCTATGGAAAGAACTCGCCTAGGGTCATGACTCAGGGCTACAGTTAGGACTATTGGCGGTACCCCAAATCTGAGTGATAAAGCGACTATCTCCTTAAACTCCCAGTACCCCTAAAGCTTCCACAGTGGCAAAGACAGGCCTAATTAATACGCGGACTCCGTATCCTCTTAAAGTAAAAAGGTCACTTTTCCACGCCGTAGCCGTTTGGACACATAAGTGAAATAAAAGACCATTTTCCACACCTTTAGGCGTATTGGGCATGTATGGTTAAAAATATATTTTGTAGACCCTTATTCGTCTATCACGAGTGACGAAGACCACTTTTATCCACTGTAGTAATGATCAATGGTTATGAGTACCAAGGTGGCTGATTAGTCCAACATGAGTCTGAAGAGTTATTGAGCAGCGCGGACAACAGATGGAAGCGGCAGTAAGTGTGGGATTAGCAGTACGATTCTGTCTAGTCTGCCTCCGTTTCTCTGCCTGTGCTACGTCCGCTACCTGGCAGGCAGATGCATCATGCCTGAGGGACGTACGCCATCCAGAACGGTCTTGCGCAGCAGCCTCCCACTTCGCTGTGTTGATGCCAATAGAACTGAGAGCAGTCTTGAGAGTGTCCTTATAGAGCTTTTTCTCCTCCCTGAGACTTCTTTCCTTGCTAGAGCTCGCCATAAAATACTCTTTGGGAGGTGATAGTCGGGCAAGTTGGCTATGTGACCAGCCCAGCGCAGCTGATAATTCTTCAGTATCGTATGGATGCTAGGGAGGTTTGCCCTATCAAGAACCACAGTATTTGGGATCTTGCGATTTGATTTTGAGTAGCTTTCTGAGACATGTTATTTAAAAATGATTCAACTTTTTAGCATTGCCCTGATACTCAGTCTACGTTTCGCAAGCGTAGAGATAATGTGATAGCTAGCTGAAAGTGAATTGAGCTTGGACTGCAAGTCATTTGATTTCTAGTAATGACAATGAATAGCTGTGTTGCTTCTCTTTTGTTCTATTCTTTGCGAGTCTGTATGTTAACTCATTTCCGGGTATGCCACAGTGGGCAGGTGTTGAATTGTTTTCTGAGTTTATTTAGCTGGCAGGTCAGTTCTCTTTCCATATTGTCTCGTGGATCCCTTTGAGTCGCCTGGAGGACTAACATGAAGTCATACAGGACAACATTTTTGTTGTCCTTTATTTTTCTTTCTCGTTCAGGTTTGTTGCATCTACTATTGTTTTCTGCTCTGTTCTGAAGTTTGTTGAGAGTTTCCTGGAGGCACACGTCTTTTTCACAGTGGTCTTATCTTGCAGCATGATGACTGAATAGGCCCTATTATTTTTTTCTTCTTCCTCCAACGATCCACCATTGTATACATGGATCCATTCGGATATTAGGTAAGAGTGGTGGATATGTTTGCTTTCAGGACTAGGTAATGTTCTTCAGCTTTTCTGTGTCTGGGATTATTGTTGTGACAGTATAGTTAGGATGTGGGTCTATGTTGTATGCCTGGATCCCTTCCCAAGTTGCTGGATCTCTAGAAAGGATGCCACTGTTTTTGGCTCAGAACAGTATTTTTTTAAAAATGGATGGTGGAAACGTGTAATTTTTTTTTTTGGGGGGGGGGGGGGGGGGTTAAACTATAAATGTTAATCTGTGCACGAGATTGTTCATGCATTTACAATTTTCTGTCAGGGTAAGCACTTTTTTCTTCAGTTAGACAGCTCAGACTTTGAAGGCCAGAAGTTGCCTCTATGTCAATGACTAGACTAGTGTGCCTCTCAGGCCTCCAGTGATGATTCTGAGACCAGTGGTCTGTATTTGTTCCTGGTTTGTGTAGTTTTGATTTGGTTGCAGTAGAGTATGTTCTCATGCCATACTTTAGTTTTGGTAGAGGTATCATGTAAATACTTGTCGCACAGTGTTAGCATCTGCATGCCAGCTTGTTCTAGTAGTCTGCAGAGAAGAATTTTAGAAGATAGTATAGATGGTCAAGTGATCGGCATGAAAGACTTATAAGAGATGGTATCCATGGCCAAGTAGTCGGTGGGAAGATTTGAGCAGATGGTTTGATGAACAAGTTGTCTGGACAATTTTGAAGAGATTGTAGATATTGCCAAGTAGTCTTTGTAAAAATCTTTGAGTAGATAGTATAGATGACTAAGAAGTCTGTGCGGATGACTTTGAGGCAAAGATTTGATGGCCAAGTTGTCTGGAAGATTTTGAAGAGATTGTGGATACTGCCAAGTAGTCTTTGAGTAGATAGTATAAATGACCTAGTTGTCTGTCTGGAAGACTTTTAGAAGGTGGTACAGATGGCCAAGTTATCTGTGAAGAAGACTGTGGTGAGATTGTATAGAAGACCAATCTGTCTGTATGGAAGATTTTGAGGATATTAAATAGATGGCCATGTGGTCACCGGGGAAAACTCTGAGATAGTTGAGATTGCCTTGTACACGATGTGGGAGACTGTAAGTAGACATTATAGATGGTTATGTGGTGAGGCTACAGGAAACTGCTTTCAACCATAAGGCTATAATTAAAAAAAAAAAAAACGAAAAAATGCATCCCTCATAGGGGAGTGACACAGTTATCATCAGAATTACATTTATATAAACCAATTGACCGGCTCTCTAGCGGAATTGGCTAAACCAGATTTCGCAGAGACCGGGTGACGTACTCCTTGTGGTCCGGGTTCAATCCTGGGGGTAGGCAGGAAAGCCACATTTTCTCCCAGATTTATGGTATTTACAATAGAATCAAGGCCGAAAGGTTGCGATATCCATAATACCGAGCCTAAGGGTTAACAACTCATGGCTTCTGGATACTAAAACAAACATATAAACCAATCACATCAGTTTCTGATGCACATTTTCATTAGAAATTAATAAAGCATAAGCACAATTTTTAAATAACCCTGATAAAGCACAGTAACAAAAAGTTAATGCTTAAAATCTGTTTATTTAAAACAGTTAAATAAATATATTATTTCAACAATGTTGCATAGGTCAGCTTCTCAAAGTCTGGCTAACTTGGGCACTCCATTGTTCAATTATTCTGAAACGAAAACAAAAACAAATTAATTCCCTTATACATTTATAAATGTGTGGATGTTTACTAATATTAAAAGCTATTCGCTGAATTTTTCTTCTTTGTGTTTTCCAGCAGTAAACTCTGGTGGAGTTTGGTCTTGTCCCACATCTTTAGACTTGCGTGCACATCCATACTACAGATCTGACTTATTTGTTTGCTGACTGTTGGTTCCCTTCCTCTCAGGCAGATGCACTCTGATTTCAAAGGAAACATCCTTAATTATTCACTTTTTTCATCATGCTTGTTAGGAGAGCAGGGAATCTTCCCACACCCCCCCCCCCCCCCCCCCCCCCCCCAACCACCAACATGGGGCCTAGGAAGCCACAAGGGGAGTCATGGAAAGTAAAGGTAACCAGTGCGATGTTGACCACATAACCATTTAAGGACCAACTTATATTTTGTCTCATATTTATAATGATGAGTCTAGCCTCAGGGGACAGAACCGCCACTGCCATAAAACAGAATTCTTTGCGTTACTTTTTTTTTTTCCAACTAAGAGGCAATTGCTACTACATGTCAGTCTAATGGGCTTCTAATCCTGATAGAATTCTGTTAGTTGTTGTATCTATTGCTTGATGCCACTGAAACCAAAAACAAGGCATAGATAGGGAACTAAATGTAAAGCAATTACTAATGCAGAGCTTTTGTAGAGCACTAAAGAGGAAATCAGTAAATTAAGAGACAAAGAATAGATCCTGACACTTAGCTGGACACATATGGAGTAAACCTGATAGCTAGCATGATCTTTCACTACTTCACTACTGGAACCTGCAGGTACCCTTCCCCCATACACCCCCCCCCCCCCCAAAAAAAAAGAAATAGTTGCGTGGATAAGAGAATCAGAAACAGAAGTGAATAAGATGGTAGAAGCCATGGTATGAGGTCAAAGGATATGACATTTTGGCACAAAGTATTTAAAAATCTGCCCTTCTATGAGCCAATAAAGTGAAGAGAGAAGAAGACTATATGATTACTAACCTCCGCATTTCTCACAGCTACAGCTGGCAATATAATCGATTTCAATCTTTATCTTAGACTGATCATTTGGGCATGAAAATTCGATAAATTTCTGTCGGACAGCAGCCTTGCAACATGCGCAGTTTGACTGGGTGAAAAGTTCAAATCTGTGGGCTTTTGTATTGTAAGTGTTTGACACAGCAGTCTCTGTACTTGTGCCACAGGAGCCAACACATTGCTGGGGAAAAGTATTGTATTAATCAGTATGCAATTATGTACCTTTCTTTTCTAATTTGATCTATTATCCCTTATTTAAAAATGCTAATTAAAAAAACAGAACAAAAAAACTTTTTAACATATGGTAATTCTTGTATCATAACCTTATTTAATAACATATGGTGTAACAACTGTGTATCTCATACTAAGTAGCTCATGCCATGAATGTCTTATCTAAAAACATTTGTGGTAAAAACTTCATTATGAACTAGGCCTACCTTTCTTATTTAATAACATACAGCATAAACTTGCTAAACGATAATACAAACATAATGTGATTCTCATTTAAAATTTCGTAACAATTGTATACATTTTGTATATATTAATATTCTGGCACAAATGCAACCATACTTCAAGAACTGACTTTTGAAGAAAGTTGGCTATTAAAGACGATTAAAACATAAAATTGCAATATTTTGGTCACTTGAAACGCCACAAAAGTTTGGAGAGAACAATAATGAACAGGAATATGCCAGGGAGGAGAGGAAGAGGAAGGCCAAAGAGAAGATGTGGCGGATGGTATCCAAGTGGGTGTATCGGACAGGGGACATCTTGATTTAGATCAAAAAGTGTTCCAGAAGGTTGTTATAGGAGCAAGGTTCTGCAAAGGACATGCTACTGACTGACTGAATATTCAGGCATTAAAGTTCTGTATAATAATATATATTATCAAACATGTGCTGTCTCCCAAATAAAGGCTGGTTACCTTTATCTTGTCATCGCTCTCGCTGTTTGTACACTATAACAGACAGCTCCTCTGTTAATTTTTTCCCCCCTCCCCCCTACACACACTTGAAGGTTATTTACTCTAGCTTGCTGCCTTCAGATTTTCTATCCACTATAGGTTTTATAAGTGTGTGATCACTTTTAATATGGCCAAAATATTTTGCTTGTCCCTTTAAACAAATTTCTTTTAGCAGTGCTTTTCATTTCATCTCAACAGAACCTCAGTATTGAATTATTTTTGTTTGTATGACAAATCTGCATCTGCATTCCCTCAGTTAAATTCACTAATTGCTTAATTATTGTCAAGGTTTCTGCACTATATAGTAAAAGTATGACTGAGCACAAGTATCAGTCTTACAATCACATACTGATTATTTGATAACTCTTACAAATTTATAACATCTCTGAAAATTGATACTCGTTCATTATCTACAAACACCAGCTGACTGACTATTATGTGCTGCTATAATAGATCCCTGTTTGCTACAAGAGGACAAGTTTAACAATTTAGTTGGTTTCTTTGTACACTTGCATACAAACAGTGTTCATGGAAAAGTGTGTGGATGGCCATCATAAGTCCTGCCTTTAAGTGTATACAGTCAAATGTTTACATCTCAAATGACCACGAGTCTTGGATAAGGTATCAGCCATTTCCTGCCTCTATTATTCCATGTAGTCAAGACATCCAGGAAATTATCTCTTTCTCTTCTTCTTATGCTCTCCTTGCCAATTGTCACTACTTTTCAGCTTCTTTTTTCTCTTTTATAACATGCCCAAAGGATCTTGAATGTATATAATTTTTCTGATCAATTTCCAGTTTTCATGTTTCTTGAAGAAGTATAATTTGTTTGTCCATTGTATTTTTTACATTTTACTTAGAAATTACACTGCCATTTTGTTCTTGTTCTCTGCTCATCTGGTTATTATATATGTTGCACAAGCATACATACATATTCACTAATGTGCTTTATTGCCATTATATGTCACATAGGGCTCGCAGTCTATTTCTCCATTCCATTATATGCTGTGCAGTCACTTCAGTATCATGTATTGAATCCAGTCCAGCACCTTTGGCTTCTCTTTTCAGTGTTCACCGTAGCGTTTTTCTTGGGCATCCTCACTTCCTTAATCTCTCCATTTTCAGTGGCTGTTTGGTGATTCAGTGTTTGTATTTCTTGAGAATGTGTCCAAAATAACAGTCTTCTCTGTCTTATAACTGTTACAACTCTTATTTCTTTAGTCTTAAATTCCTCCCACTTTATGTTCATCAGTTTACTCAGGCATTTGTTTTGTTTGAATGCATTTAATTTTGGTTCCATGTCTTTAGTGGTTCTCCAACTGTCACTGGCGACAGTATGATTATAGTTTTCTTAAAAACTGAGATATTCAGTTGCTCATTCACACAGCGTGGAGGCTGACTGACTGACTGACTTTCTACCCCACCAGGACATCAAACAAGCGATAAACACCCGATGACACAATGTGCCACCATGTGGGTGAGGATCACTGGGGAGAGGTCCCAGAAACCGCGTTCAGCCTTAAGGCAATATTTAAGGCCAGGCTATATTGCTGCCCCTGGCAAAAGCCAGAGTAGGGCTATAAATAACGAAAAATTTCATCCTAAAAAGGACGGGAAGTGGGATATAGTGTTGCGTGGACGCAAAAGGGAACATACTAATATGTAAATATACTTAAAAACATGCAGCTGACAATATTTAGGAATGTGGTCTTAAACAAACAACCAAATATAAATATTTTTTTTAAACTCAAACCGGTGAATACTAAGAAGAAGAAAAAGAAGAAGAAACATAGTTTTAATCTGTCTACTAAACATATTAACCAAAAATCACAGGGATTTTACTTACTCGAATCTGAACAGGTTCAGATACACACTCTCCACCATCTGATGTATTAACTCTCAGTACTTCATTTGAAACAGTTTCAGGGCGACAAATCTTAGGTTTCTCCACACATGCTGGACAGCACTTATCATCAGTGGGTATGCTCATATGTGTTTCCTGAAATATTATGTAAACAGCTGAAGAATTAGCTCAACATGTGTCAAGTGACTTACCTTTATCACTTACTCCTTAAAAGACCAAACCAGTGGCACTATTCTTCTTCCTAATTATTCACCATTATAAGGATGGCTGGTATACTGTGTTGTGGTTTACAGCTAGGGTGTGACATCTACACCTTTTGGCCCAACCTATCCAGTTTTAGTGAATCCCTAAACAGTCTCCTTTTCATGGCAAGTTTGTTATGGGAGAGTGGGACCATTCTTTGTTCCCTCAACGTGGGGTTCTGGAGCCTAAATGGGAAACTTCCAGTATACTTTTACTAATTAATTTCCTGACAGTTATTACTCTGAGTTATTACCACTGAGTATCATGAACTGAAAAGAAATCATGAGGAATTCGATGGAGAAGGAAACCGACTGTCCTTTCAGCAAGCATTTTGCAGATTCAGGATATTAGAAAGCAAAAGAGATGAAAATAAAAGATGAAGAAATAGTGATTTTTGAAATTAGCTACTGAAATTGATGCATATGAAAATGAAGAGAAAACAAGCATTTAAAAAAGAAAAGAAGAAGAGAAGGACAAGTTGGTAAAAGAAGCAGTAAAGGAATAAGAAGAATGAAAAAGAATAAGAGGTCTCCTAAACAAAGAAGAAAGTGTTCTAAATTAAACAGATTGCTATCTTCAGCACTTTGTTTCAAAACAAAGTTTTCAGGTTTTAAGGAAATCTGTTCAAAAAGTTTCCAACCTCAGAACAGGCAAAAATACCCTCTCCTGAAGGTGCCCTCTCTTGAAGGTCTGAAAACACAATCACTTTAAAAGTAATCACCTTGGGACTGTACATACTTCAGCAGTCCCACTGGAAACATTTCATACAGGTCATTTTAGGAACAGAGTACGGTTTCACTATCATGTTCCACATAATGTCTTTTCGTGATTTAAACTGGATTGCTTTAAACGGCATGTTTAACTTGGAAAGCAATCAACAACCAGAGTAATATTATGTTTGACCAACAGAACCTGGATCAGAAGTGAGTGTGTTGGTGGTGCAGCCAAATTAATTTTTTTCCATTTGTCCAGTAAAAAAAAATTTGATTTGTTTTCATGAGAAAAATTAAGGCTGGATATATTTTGAACAAATCTTCAATGTGTTATGTAACATAATTACTTACATTGTTGCAATTTTCGAAGGCTTCCAGGCATTGCTTTGTTTGGTTAAGAGCAATACATTCTTTCTTTCCATTTTTACAGTAACATTCCTCTGTGCAATCCTTATTTGTTATAATACCTGTGGAAAATTTAGATTTACATTACTGTATGCAGTGATTTTACTGAGTGATGATAATACAGTGATCAGTGAGTTTGCATTATTTTGGGCCTAATAATTATTCAGTGGAAGTAGGATTTTTACTTCTCCTTCTTCATCAGCATTCTGTGCCCTTTAGGTTCATTGCTGCACATATCAACCACCTCCACCCCTTTCTGTGATTAGTCCTCTCTTTCCAGCTGGTGACTCCAAGCGCTTGCAGCTCGGCCTGTATATTATCTTTTTACCATCTTCTTAGTCTGCCTCATGGTTATGACCAATCAACTCTCTTGTTTACATAGTTGTTTTATCTCTTTCCTCTGACATCCCTTCAATATGCCCCAGCCAGGATTTTTACTGACACTTGTTTTTCTAGGGTCAACTTAAACCTATAATATGTGTACCAGGTAATTATAAGAGTCCTAACATTGTCTCGGAAAGAAATGTAAGCAAATGAGTTAATCAGCCTTTTGTGTATGTGTGTGGTCATTCTGTGATCTAGTGTGTGTGAAAGTCTAATTTGTTTGTTACATCTGAAGTTGTATCTGCCACAGGCAGTGTTCTACCAGGGTCAGGTAGTGCCTGATGATGCAGATCATTTCCTGTCACTTTTCCCACACACATATATTTTTAAAAACATTTCTTTTGCCTTTGAAATTCCCCCCCCCCCCCAAATCAGTAATGTAACCCTGGGAACCTACACCCCACCCTAGGCTGCTGGCCACAGAAACAGAGCAGGACGCAGTCGACTTCGCAGCCACAAGTACAGACAATTTTAGGATTTGAACCAGCCATATGTACATGTGGAATTGCACCTGAGACAACAGATCACATCTTCCAAGACTGCCCCAGGAACAATACATCAGGGCAAAACTTTTGGCCATGAGAAACACCGGTGTAAGCCAAACTTTAAGGGTCACTGATTGAATTACAACAGATAGTGAAGTTTATACCAGAGACAGAATTGCAGATACAGATAATTTATTTCAAGCGAATGAAAGAAGAAGAAGAAACAGATTTTTTATTTTATTATAAGCAAATTGACTATTTTACAGCTGTCTACTGAATTGTCCGCAGTAAACAAAAAAACTTAAGAACAGCACCAGGGAGTACAATACATATGATGCCCTAGTGTAGACATATGTGCACCCATATTAACTGTAGCTTAGTATCGGTTTTGCGTTCATAATTATTCCATATCATTTTGCATACTGTTGTTTATAAAATTAAAATATTATGTCAACGTATTTAACATATTTACTTTTGTCACTATAAAGATTTTTACAGGAAGTGTGTGTGTGCTTGTGCATGTGTGCACATGCGTGCGTGTGTGCGTGTATGTGTGGATTGAAGTCTCACCTTACTTACTAAATTATCGTAACACTTTGACACATTTCATAGTATCATTTATTTCAGCTTACCTTCCATTGTTATGTTCGAGCATGTGACCTGGCCATCATAGCATTTACTGTTAAAAGGGAAATAAATTCATGAAATGAATGTTGCAAAGATTAATGAAAAGAAAAAATGGAACCAGGAAAAAAAAACAAAAAACAGAAACTGTTAAACTAAAAAAAAAAATACCATCTCAAAAGTGTTATGTTAGTTATAGATTTGAAAAAAGAAAAATATTTGCAGACAGGACCAAAATAAAGATAAGCTTTTGTAGAAGGGAATACTATTTTTTAAAAAGAGTTGCTCTTATATTATACTTAATAATTATATTATGATTGTCGTCCCCTAGTGGGATGCAATTTATTGTTATTCTGAAGCCCCATTCTGGCTGTTGCCAGGGGCTCCAATATAACGTAATAGTTAAACTGGGTTTCCTGGATCTCTCCACAGGTGATCCTCATCCATATGGTGACACTTTGTGTCACCGGGTGTTTTTATTGCTATGTGATGTCCTGGTGGGGTAAAACTTACTTAAATACTTATTATACTTAATTAGGAGGGTCTAATAATTATACTAATTTTGGCAGGAGGGAGAGGGCGGAGGGTCAAATAATATGCTGTGTCAAAAGGTCCAGTATTGTGCTGATGAGGGATAGTCAAACCATTTAATCATTTCCTAGTAGGGCATCATGGAAAGAAAGACACACTGAAAGTGGTAATGTGCACAATCTCTGCTTTGATGAAGACTCTTAGCAGATATACGCCAAAGAAGAAGCGCATGGGCATTTACAGCACGCTCAGCGGGCAGAACAGTCAAAGAAGCCAACGGTGCCTTCTCCATGACAACCAGCAGCATGACGATGGAGGTGATGGCAGTGACGCAAGCGTTTGCCTGGCTTGAAACACAAAAATACACCCGCATATGTATACTCAGTGATTCAATGAGTATGATCCGGAGGGTTCAGGCAGGTTCAGTGCGAAGACAATGGCTTGAATCATTACAGAAGTCCACTGTGCGTGGAGTCACCTTTATTTTTGTTCCGGGACACGCAGGCGTCGATGGAAATGAAAGAGCTGACAGGTTGGCTGGATCTGCTATCACTACCGACGGTCCGGCCTATGGATCATGCTGATATTATCAATGCCCTCAGAGAAATGGGAAGGATAGAGGACTTTGGTGGCAGTGAATCCACATCACTCGCCAGAATGGCAGACTTGGGAATTAAGATCGGCACAGCAAAAAACGAGACGCACACCGGACACGTCAGAAGACTTGTTAATCAACATAGAACTGGTACTATTAGCCATCGGACGTTGGGGTTCATACTGAGGGGAGGATCTGAGCACCTATGGACATGTCCGGAGTGCAATGACGATAACCCAACTAACTAACTAACTATCTTAGCAGATGAGATTCTTTGAGCACTGTTGTCCTCAGGGTTGCCTCTTTCCAGAATGTATATAACTTGTCTAATGGTGAGATGTACCAAGTCATCATCAATTACAGAATTCCAGAATGCATATAACTTGTCTAATGGTGAGATGTACCAAGTCATCATCAATTACAGAATTCCAGAATGTATATAACTTGTCTAATGGAGGGATGTACCAAGTCATCATCAATTACAGAATTCCAGAATGTATATAACTTGTCTAATGGTGAGATGTACCAAGTCATCATCAATTACAGAATTCCAGAATGTATGTAACTTGTCTAATGGAGGGATGTACCAAGTCATCATCAATTACACAATTCCAGAATGTATATAACTTGTCTAATGGTGGGATGTACCAAGTCATCATCACTTTCAGAATTTTAGAATGTATATAACTTGTCTAATGGAGGGATGTACCAAGTCATCATCAATTACAGAATTCCAGAATGTATATTATTTTCTAATGGAGGGATGTACCAAGTCATCTTAAAGTAAGCAACTCAATAAGGCAAGGTTAAAACAATGAAAAACAAATTTAAATCAAAGGTTTTTTAAACTTATGAATACAAAGTGAAAATGATTCAGTTTTTAAATTAATCTAATCATTTTGTCATTGCTGAAAGAAAAAGTGAACACTTAAAATATGTGCACAAATATAGAACATATGATACTTTACAATCTGGTATTAAAATAATAACAGCCCATGACCACCATTGTTCATTTCTTCAGAAAACAATGAACTTTAAAAGACAATTTCAGGATTTTAAAAAAAATGCATATTACATTGAATTGTAAAATAAGACATACCATGTACGGCACTCATCACCAAACTTTTCATCATGGTCAAAGTTCTCTCCTTCGAAAAGACATGGGCATTTCTCTGTGTTACATTCCTCAGTATCTACAGGTTCATATTCGCATTCTGGACCAGTTCCAGGACCAAATTTGTTTCTGTAAAAGACAAGAAATGAATATTTAAGCATGTTATTTTTTACTAGTGAATTCTCTTTGCGGTTACAAGGGCCCCATTTTGTCCCTATTATAAGCTTAAAGGTGACTAATTAGGTGTATTCATTTGTAGCTGAAGTGCACGCCTGAGAGGCAGGGAACTAGCAGTGCATGAAAATAAGTCAAATCTGTGAAATGGATGTGCATTCAAAGCTCAAGTTTGGTAACATGACCACCGGAGTACAGAAGTGGATGAACAAACAAAACTTTCCGCTGGAGTTTACAGTTGACAAACACTGAAAATAAGAAAAATACTAGAGTATCTTACTAAGAAAGGGATAAATGCCAGCAGATCAGTTAGCACTCAATGCAATCAGGTAATAAAGAAAGTGATAAATGCCAGCAGATCAGTTAGCACTCAATGCAATCAGGTAATACAGAAAGTGATAAATGCCAGCAGATCAGTTAGCACTCAAGACAATCAGGTAATAAAGAAAGTGATAAATGCCAGCAGATCAGTTAGCACTCAATGCAATCAGGTAATAAAGAAAGTGATAAATGCCAGCAGATCAGTTAGCACTCAAGACAATCAGGTAATAAAGAAAGTGATAAATGCCAGCAGATCAGTTAGTACTCAGAACAGTCAGGTGATACAGAAAGTGATAAATGCCAGCAGATCAGTTAGCACTCAAGACAAATGAATCAATCATTCTTCTCTAATGTTAAATGTTGAATCACGAGTCAACATCACAGAGTCCGGACACCCCCATAAGCACCCTGTCCCCATCTTTAGCAGCAAAGAAGGGTTCCAATTATGATAGTACCAGTAACTGTCTGATTGTATGTTCATCTCGCCCTTCCCTTGAGTGTTGAGCGTCGATCAGACACCCTGGTGAATCCCCACAGCGCCATTCTCCTCAGACCGTAATGATCTATTTGTGTCTCTGCACTGTTCACTCGCTCTTAAAGGGTCCTCACAACATCTAGCTTGTCATACATCAGTTCACCACCAAGTGGTAAACATCAGTTTACCATCAAATGGTGCAGAACCGGCACGTCTATCTGCCTGTTCATTTCCCAACACACTGGCATAACCTGGAGAAAATATCCAAAGGATGCTAACTAGCTGGGACCTCTGAAGTGATGCTTGCTCTTCTCTAATGTTATATTACAACTGTCAAAGAATACTGGTACTTTTGGGGGAAACGAGAGTAGATCCCCTTTTCCTAAACAAGCACACTGTACAAGGCAATTAATTATGGATTTGCTGAAATTGGTTGTGTTGAGATAAAAGGCGCACATATCACAGCCTAGCTGTAAGCCACAACACAAAGTGCTAACTACCTTTTAAGGTTAAATATTTGAGAAAAAAAATGTAACAATTATTTTTTCACAAAAATCTAGACATTAATATACATATTAGAAAAAGAAGATATGCAAGAACAAGATGACCACTTCACTATTCCCATGTCAACTAGTAACTATTTAACATGTTTAATCCTTAACGTCCCCTATGCCAGAAAGCCACAGTTGATGCCCCAGTGAGTCAGTTGTGAAATCAACAAATAATAGATATACTATATCCCCAGGGCCCAAACACACATTCCTTGTGGGAGACGAATGTGTTATTGATTGTTTTACCATGCCCTGACTGCAAATAAAACTTGAGTTTACAACCTGCAAATGCTAAGAAGGAGAAGAAGAAAGTGTCAGTATCCACCACAAAATGTCTTTTTCAGTAGCGGTGGTAAATTCATGTTTAAAAAAGTGGTGCCGGTACTGGTGTATTGTCAGAAAAAAGCCCTTGGCATGAGAACTATTTAGTTAGTCTCTTGAGCCTTAGGTGACTCACAGGGCAGAGACCATAGCTCTCCATGTCTGGCAGTTCGTTGCCACCTGTTTCAAGTCTTGCATGATGATAGTTCTACACAGGGTCTCTCTTGGTCTTACCCATTTTTCTTTTCCCTTCTGATGTCCCTATGACGGCTTGAGGGGGAAGTCTGGTCTTATCCATACTGATTATATATTCGATCTAGTTCCAGCGGCGCTTTCTTAAAAAAATTTGATTATTTTCCTGTTTGGTCTATTGTCTCCTTCGCGTACTGGATCTGAAATCTGTCCAGTGGATATTTAATATTCTTCTAAGACATCTGTTCTCAAAATTGTCAATTTTTTTAATCTAGAGCTATCATTGCTTTCCACCCCTCACATCTATTGAGAACTACTGTTGTACAGTAATTCTGACATATAACATATACAAGAAATAAGAGTCTCCACATATCTAATGGAAGCTAACCTTATTCTCCGCCTGATTCCACCTCCACATGTTTTGGAACACTCCGTCCAGTTAGAAACTTCAAATTCGCAGCCTGCAATGTATTCATAGATGAAATGATAATTTACCTGTTAACACAAAAGTAAGATGTGTATCTTTTACAAGACGCTGAAGAACCAACTGCAGCATTTTTAGGCTGCTGTGGTTTTTCTAGGCACATTTTACATTCAGTAGTTTGCCATTGCTTCCTGGATTGTTAGCTCTCAGTACTCCTGCTGAAACCAGCGCAAGACAAACAGTCTGCAGATGGGATTGAACGCGGCATCCCACATTATGAAGTGCATTTGCAATGCGTAGGCCACAGATGGCAACAAATTACCTGTAGATGTGCTTAAATAACAAACATATATATAGTCCAATTTACTTATGGAGGAGTCTGTAAAAAAATCTACAGGACAGTGGAATATGGTATTAAAATAAGTACTTAAAGGTGATTAAAATAAATGAAATATAAGTGCTGTTGATAACATAAAAGTTGACATCATGTGGCAAGGACGTTAGATTTCATCAACATAACATATTTTGTAATTAGATGTTTGGAAATCAACCTACATTTCTTATTAAAATTGCCATAACTGATAATGAACACTTAAAATGTGTAAAGAACTGACAGTAATGTCATTAAATAACAATATCTGAAATATATATATTTATGTTTATATACATATTATTTATGAATCAAAGCACATCTTATATGTTTTAACAGAAGCAAATAAATATGCAATGAAATGAAAAGTTTTATGCGATGGAAATTCATAGTTCTGCATTAGGGAAAATTAACAAATGTATTTTAAATTTAACTAAATGCAGTAAGGATGCCTTTTAGCACTCTGTTATACATACTGACTATAGACATGATTGTGAAGACAACTACCACTAGAAATTGAACTTAGTGGACCCCAACACAACTCAATGATGTGTACTGTGCTGATGACAATGTCCTCTTATTTAATCACAGACAAATCAGATGCAAGATAAATTAAACATATTTGAATGAAGATAATATCAATTAGATATTTAGATTTTAAGAGTAAGGCAAAAACACAATAACGCAGTCTTCCTTGGGAAAAAAAAAGTTTTAAAATGTGTAGGCATGTGTCTACCTATGCAGAAATGTAGACAAAGGCAGAGTAAAATATAGATATATAAAAAATACAAATGGCAGCACAGCTTTCATAAGAATATTATGGAAGTCAAAAAATTTGATCTAGTACCAAAGAACAACTAAAATAATAACCAATAAATTACAAAATACATTAACCGGTACAGCACAGAAAGAATTAAATAGCATGAATCACAAATGCAGAACTTTGGGAAGGTTTAAAAATCCAGTTAATCAGTTGGTACCAGATAGGGCACACACTGAGAAAACATGGTGATAGTATAACTAGAATGTTCTTGCAATGGAATCCACAAAAGCATCATAAATAAAGAGAGACCAAAATACATCTGAACAAAATTGGAGACAGGACTGTTACAAAAAGAATCGGGGAAAAAAAATGAAAAAGGACATGGAGTGAGTTGAATGACATGACAAAAGATAGAAAGACATGGTGCCAAATGGTTCAGGGCAGATGCGCCATTGGGGATAAAGGGCAGAAAAAGATGAAAAAGAAAGAAATGATAAATCACAAATTTAATAGAATGTTATATGGTTTACTTACAGCCGGGAGTGTCAAAGCACATAACTCCATTCACAGTACAATTGCTGTAAGAGTTTTAAAAATACAGTATGTAAAGTAGCCAAAAAAAAAAAAATAAAAACCAAACTTACAAATGAAAGTCAAGAAAAAGTCTTCATGCACAATAATAATGTTTGCCATAATGGGTAATTTTTGTGTATTAGATAGGATGAAAAGTGGTTGCTTTGTTTACCTTGAGCTTGGAAGAGTCTTGTGGGTTTGGGTTATGCTGTTCAGTTCATTTGTGCAACTTTAAAAAAATATTTTTGTTTTTTTCGAAATCCCACCAAAGGCTATTGGAGTTATAAAGTCTGTGCTCTGTGCAACGCACCTGGTAGGAGACAGTCACTCTTCTGAGAGAAACCATCCTTACCCATCAGAGAACTGCAGGTTACACCTGGCTGACGTGGCCAATACAGGTGCCCTAATTACAGCTCTTTTGGAGGTTGAACAGGTTATCTTGGATCTGCCTTGGTGGTCTGACATCTGAATGAGATTTTAAAAAAATCTCTACAGTGCAAGGTAAAACTTTAGGTAGCATCCTAGAGGGGACAAACTGATTAACCAAGAAAAATCAGTCTAGTTAGGATACAACATAGTGAATGATCTTTTTAGTCAATCCTAGTCTTTAAAAATGAAGTATGGAAATAAGCGGATTAGTGAGAAATTATGTGAAAGCTGAAGAGATTTTTTATAGAAAAATGATGACAGTAACACGGACAGAATAAAAAGCATAAAGAAAATGTCTTGACAGAAACTAACTCACAAACAAAACTAGCTACCAGCATTACAAAATAAAATAAAATAAGAAAGACATGGCACACTTTTAGAGCCACAACATAAAAAGGAGAAAACTTGAATAAATGACAAAAGGAAAATTATAGAAACAATTGCACTATAAATGTTTGACAAGACAGAAGGATGTTGCCAGACGTGCCACATGGCTTAGACTACAAGAGGAGAAAGATTTTAAAAATACTTTTAAATATGTAACTCATAGTTTATTTAACAGTATACTTACCAAGTTTGACATTTACTCAAGTTAAAGGTATACCCTTGCGGCATTGGGGTACCATCTTGATGCCAGCAATCACATTGACCTACCGGGATACATTTGCCTGAAGGATCCCTGAAAATTATAATTTCAAAATGTAAAACACACTGACTTAAGAAACTTTATGTTAATGATTTAACACTGCCTCTAAGTGTGTTTTAAAAATATAATTCACTTCTGTTTAAATCACAATTACGAGAGAAAGTGCAAAAGATAGAGGAGATAAGTAAAGAGACAGAAACTGAGAAAGACAGACAGACAGTCACACACAGACTAAAAGAGAGAGAGAGAGAGAGAGAGAGAGAGAGAGAGAAAGAAAGATAAAGATATACAGAAAGAGAGAGAGAGAGAGAGAGAGAGAGGTTTATCAAATGCTTTGTCATGAAATGTGTTGGATGTCATAGTTTTCAGTACACATAGCACAAAATGGCTAAGTGCTACAAATGTTACACTTTTTACAACTGAAAATCATGTTTTAACCATCAGAATCCAAAAGCTTATCAAGTCTGACACAAAATAAATCACTCCTAATGTTACTTGCCTTTGGTTGATTCTCGGATGCAGCTTAACCCTTTCACTCCCCATCCAAAAAAATAAAATATATGAAAACAAAAAGGATCTGTTGAAAATTTCTGTTTAAAAAAAATACCCCTTTTTTAATTCTGTGACAACCCTTAGACCACCAAGCACAAAGTCCACAGCTGCATCCCACCTATCAAATCACTAGAGTTTAAAGTAAGGTAGTTCATACAAAAACATAAAATGGGTGAAAAAAAAGTAATTGCTTTCTTTCCCTCTGACCATGATAAAAGTTGTTTTGTTGACTTAGCCATGGGGAGCAAAGTGATGGCATATTAGATTATTGTGACATAAATGATGATGCAATGGTTGTAAAATTTGCCATGATTTTACCCCTATTAATATCTCAAAGATTTTATGTGTACGTGGGGTATAACAGTGAAAAATATGCCATGATTTTACCCCTATTAATATCTCACAGATTTTATGTGTATGTGTGGTATAACTGTGTAAAATATGCTATGATTTTACCCCTTTTAATATCTCAAAGATTTTGTTTGTGTGGCGTACAACAGTGTAAAATATGCCATGATTTTACCCCTATTATTATCTTAAAGATTGTGTGTGTGTGTGTGTGTGTGTGTGTGTGTGTGTGTGTGTGTGTGTGTGTGGGGTATAACAGTGTAAAATATGCCTTGATTTTACCCCTATTAATTTCTCAAAGATTATGTGTGTGTGTGTGGGGTAAAAATGTGTAAAATATGCTATGATTTTACCCCTATTATCTCAAAGATTGTGTATGTGTGTGTGTGTGTGTGTGGGGGGGGGGGGGGGGTATAACAGTGTAAAATATGCCATGATTTTACCCCTATTAATGTCTCAAAGATTATGTGTGTGTGTGTGGGGTATAACAGTGTAAAATATGCTATGATTTTACCCCTATTATCTCAAAAATTGTGTGTGTGTGTGGGGGGGGGGGGTATAACAGTGTAAAATATGCCATGATTTTACCCCTAATAATATCTCAAAGATTTCGTGTGTGTGTGGGGTATAACAATGTTAAATATGCCATGATTTTACCCCTATTAATATCTCACAGATTTTGTAAGCATGTGGGGTATAAAAAACATGCCCACCATGTCCTCACATCATGCAGTTACAGCCAGAACCATTTCTGTTATACAGATATAGTGGCCACTGCCCAAAGACTTCATGTTATCAAAACTAAAAAACATGAGAGAAAAATCTTTCTCAAGGTTTAACTCTTAGCTACTGTCCATCTTCTACAATTTAATTTACCTATGTTACATATTTAAGACATTGTTTTCTTATACTGCACATGTGTATTCATACCTCTTGAAATAAGGTTTGCATATACAGCCACTACTTTGACATGAAGTGTCATCAGAAGTCCTGTCACATGATGCATTTTTCATTTGGGCTTCACAGGGTTGTCCACATTTAATTTGATTTGTCACGCATTTTTCATAAACTTCATTCTCCTGACACTGATATGGGGTAGTAGCTATTATAGGATTAAGAAACAAAAATTCACTCAGCATGCATCATTTCAACAAATAAATTTTTAGCAAATATACTAATAAAGATCAAATTTGGTGGATCTTGTACTGAATTTTAAAATACCCCCCCCCCCCCCCCCCCCCCCCCCCCCCACCACACACCAAGTGTATTAATTTATTAAAAGCATATTTTATATGTGACCTATCTGTATCCAGGAATAAATTCTTGATAGCTTTACAGAACCATACATTATATAAGGAAATGAAATATGCGCAACTAACAGAATAGTAAAAAAAAAGACTTGACCTTTTCACCGTCAAGCAACTTAATATAGATTTACTGATTAGTCCATACGAGGTATACTTCACCATATTCTTCTTGCTTTTCTTTCTCCTATATTAATAAATGTAATTCCATTCCCTTTTTAAAGCAAACACAACACAAAAGTGTCCATCCACTGTGTTCAGTCTAATTTCACCTTAGTTATTATTTAGCTGCAGTTGAATTTTGTTTTTTGTTTTTTTTGATGGGTGCAGTCTTTATAGTTAGTTTTCTTCTCTGCTGTATTCAGTTTCTGTTGATTTTGTCAGCAGACGTTTTGCTGATATGGTTATCTACTTTTATTTCCTGATGCTTCTCTTCAATCAGCAATGAGTGCTCACTTAAAAAAAAAAAATTGTAATATTGGCATGGTTAGTCCTTGGAAGTGCCCACTGTAAAGTTGCCATTCACTTGCTGCTGTATTCTCTTCTATATCTATTTTGTGTTGTTTTTTAGATGAGGCTTCATGTATATTTTTTTTTCAAACTGTTTATGTATTAGGTTACAATTGATTTTTCATAACAATTAGCTTCTTTGTTGGATCCAGCTGTTTTTAATATGATAATTTTTGGTCTGCTAAGTTTTCTTTAATGATGGTGGCTGCATTTAGTCCTCGTTGCATTTTTCTATTAGATTGTTTGATGCAGATATCTGCTTCCTTGATGAGGCTTCATGCAAAGAGTTTAAACTGTTGAATACAGTTAATGTAGTTTGCAGCTGTGGTTTTTAGGCGTTGCGAATTTGCTTAATAATTCCATGGCGCTGGGTTCGATCCGACTGTGGGTGATCTGGCAGCAGACCATCTTGCATTGGTTTCACTGGTGGTATCGACAGCTGACCATTTAGAAGAAATGGCAAATTACTGAACATACAATTGCTTAATGTAATTACAGCTTTAAATCTTTTTTTTTTTATAAAGGTGGCGTTGGTTATGTAGCAAAATTTAAAAGGATGTCATGTAAAAGGTCATTCAACTAATTTTTATCATGCTTAAGTCAAATATTTCCACACAAATTAGTTCTTTTTTGTGTGGGTCCAGCTGCTGCTCATCAGATAGTTTTTGTTCTGATAAAGATAATTTATTTATAGCTGTATGTTGGTTTCATTGTTACTTTCCATCTGATTGGTGGTTTCTACTTGTGGTTTATTAGGGGGATGGGGTGAGGGGGGTGAGGCAGATGGAGTTAGAAGAGGGGAAGGAGGGTGCGAGCTGTGTCATTTGCTTCTGCTGTCATTTTTTTTGTACCATTATATCTTGGACCTTATTGGTGCCCTCAGGATTCTCTTATCAAGTTCAAATGAGGAAGTAGATATCTTATTTGCTTGTACATATGGTTATCTCAGAAGTATTCCAGTCTGCACACACTGATATAATATCTTTAAATGCCCATCCTTTACAGGTGTCAGCAAATTGTTACTTTCTCCTCAGCTGGGAAACACGTAGTATGGAATAACATAATAGCTGACGAACACTTGCATGCATCCCCCCAAATGGCTTTGAGTTAAAGGACTGAAGTTCAGGCAAAACTGGATCTAAACAACAAAAACTTCCCAAATATCATTCAAAGTGAATTTTATCACATGCCCCAACTATGTACTATTGTATCACATGCCCCAACTATGTACTATTGTATCACATGCCCCAACTATGTACTATTGTATCACATGCCCCAACTATGTACTATTGTATCACATGCCCCAACTATGTACTATTGTATCACATGCCCCAACTATGTACTATTGTATCACATGCCCCAACTATGTACTATTGTATCACATGCCCCAACTATGTACTATTGTATCACATGCCCCAACTATGTACTATTGTATCACATGCCCCAACTATGTACTATTGTATCACATGCCCCAACTATGTACTATTGTATCACATACCCCAACTATGTACTATTGTATCACATGCCCCAACTATGTACTATTGTATCACATGCCCCAACTATGTACTATTAGAAAGTATCCTCCCCATGTGGGCTTCAAGGTTAAATGAGGGAGGTCGGGGAGGGGGAGGGAAGGGTAGACCTACTATCCACCTACACTCATGCTGAAGAGGCAACTAAACAGTGGTTTTTTTCCTTCAAAGTCAGAATGCATGGGAGGAAAGAAACCAACAGTCTGCCTACAAATAAGCCAGGCATGTAAAATGGATGTGCACACCAAACAGTATCCCACTAAGTAATGGATAGAGCTGTTCTATGAGGAACAAAATAACTATTTAAAAATACTCTTACTTGATACACATTGACCACATGGTTCCCACTCATGAGTTGAAAAATTGGATGCAGTGCAGAATTCTGGACAGTCATCACATGAGCGGTTACGATACCTACTGCAGTCATCTTTGCATTCACCCCAAGGTGACCATTCACCAGGGCACTGCACTGGTGCTGTAGATCAATACAATGAGAACACAGTTTCAGCTTCAAGTAACAGGCAAAATCATCAATTAAAATTTTCGGAATGCATATTCAAGATTAGTTAAAAACTGTCTTGAGACAACAAAATCGTGTAATGTTATGTTATCACAATCGACATCACTGCATATTTGGCATTCATACTGATCTTAATTTAGATATAATACTGATCTTAATTAAGATATAATATTTCAACTGATTTATCTTTTTCATACTATTTTCTGTTTTGCAATATGAGAATATCTACACTACACTTATCAGTTTCTGCCTGATGATATTTTAACCTAAATCTATCAAATCTTTTTGAGGGTGGCTGAGGACTCTAGAGTGCAAATGAATATGTTCTACATCATAATCACAACAAATGCTGTATATTTATTTATCATCTGCTGAATGTTTAAATGTTCTGGTTTTGTTTGCAATTATCAGGTACTGTGACAACTAATGCCACTTTTGACACATAGAAGTTGATGCGTGTGATCGGGATGAACCACACACTTCCCGAATATCTAGGGGATTGTTTTCAAATGTATGTCCTCCACACGTACACACAGGGTTCCCTTATGTGACAAACCATGGCCGCCCACTCTCACTGGCACAGCCCATGCTGATGGTGACTACGACTGGAGTAAAGAATGGTTTATTAAAATAGGGGAAACCGCAATAACTCATGCATAAATAATATGTCCTATCATCAATATTAAAATTGTCTACCAGTACTATAATATAATACACCATACCAACTATAATATAGTGCTTTGTTATGAACAAACACATTGCGATGAAGATGAATTTGTGATCATTGACTCACTACAACTTCCTGCCTAATCCTCTCACATCATCTGTCTCTCCAAACATGGACAGTACATCCAACCGAACTATGAACAAGGTGACTGCTATGGGCAACTCACATTAGATTGTGCAGATACACCAAAATAATGCGCAGTGACAGTCCTCTGATGGTTCTCCCTCTCAGAGACCTGGCCAGCCAAGAACCCAAAACAGATACACCACTCGGTGTAAAGAATCCAGACCTTGCATCTGCTACCCAGTTCCAGAAGTATCACTGATAATATTCAGTTAACCAGCCTCCGATATTTCCCCATCACAATTACAAGCTGGTCAACACACACAAAGTTCTCAAGCACCTTCTATGTACTTAAGGACACCCCGTTGCAACTCTGCTGGCGCCCAACACACATAGGCCAATCTAGAATTTAACTTGGACAGAATAATGAAGTCCAGCTCATGATACACCACAGTCATCAGGACAGTTAATGAGCTCCAATAGAACAAAACCACACTGTTACCAGGCACTCTCGCCAACAGCGGTAAGCTAAATGTGGATTCACATAACCTACACAAGTCTGGGAGTTTGAAGTCATCTGTTAATATCATGCAACTTCTGTTTCACCAGTTTGAGTGGCTCAAATGTTTTCACTCACAATTAGTCAACATAGCATGAATTCCTGTGTTTACTCATGCTTCTCAAAGCCCTGGCTTCATTAACTCTTTAAACATTACAGTGACTTTGGCACACAACAGCTCACTCCCCCACTATCTCAGGCTGTGCCTGCACTGTCTAGCCTGTGTCTACACTCTAGTCTGTGCCTACACTTTCTAGCCTGTGTCTACACTCTCTGGTCTGTGCCTGTACACTAGTCAATTTCACTGTCCTAATGGCTGCATGTCCAGGAAACTTTTGTTATAGCTACTGCTCTCCAATGTCACAAGGACTGACCTCTATTGATGTAGCTAATAGTCTCAGTATAAGAAGGTTTAGCCTCTAGATAGTGTTGTAGTTACTGGTGTCAAGCGTAGTGGTGTTTGGCCTCCATTGATGTTCAATCCAACACAGGGAGACTTGGTCTTCATTGACTCTTTGCCAGCATATGTCGACTTGGCGGCCAGTAGCTAACTCTCTATCTTAGAGAGGATTAACTCCCTTTGTTAGATAAAGCAAACACTTCTGAGGTGATAAGTGTCTACAAGTCAATGACAAAAAAATGACCATTATGGAAGAAGAAAACTGACAATTGCTCTCCAATGTAGGGAGTCTAGCCCCCATTATTATATGCATGACACAAATCTCAGGAGGAGCAAATAACGAAGCCCAAATAACCATGGAACAAACAATATAGCCATCGTTCATGTAGCAAGGTTACAAATTACAATATATCTGGCCTAGATTACTGGTATATACCTGTGTATATACCAAAACAACAAAAAATAAGAAATATTGTTTTGTCAACTTTATGCCACCACTGTCTAAACTGGACCCTTAATGAGATAAGATTGCCTCAAAAATAAAAAAAAAACTTTGCTCACTTGTGCAAGTTTCAGGAACACAGGAATCTGGTGAGGTTTCGCAGTCAGGTGGTAAACCATCCTTATCATATTTGTTAGTGAGTGTTGCCTTACTGCAGTTTCCAGTGCAAACTTGCTCTATGGGCTTTGGGCAGACTTCACAGTTGCTTGTCTTGTTACACACAAGATGTTTTTTATCGCACACACTGAAAACACAAGATAATGCATGTGAAAATAACAACATATGAAGTGCATCATCTCTGTAAGGTCACTAGCAAAACAAGAAGAGGCAAGGTTATGAATACCAGCATTAGAGTCAAAGTTGGAATTAGACTGTGTATAAATTATATTGACAGACAAAGAATGAAATGGTTAGGCCATTAAATGAGAATGCAGCCCCCAAAAATGTATTTGAGACTTTTTACAGCAGAACATTTGGGAGAAAGGGGAAGGGGAGACCAAGAAAGAAATGGATAATTGGTGTAGCTGAAACCTACAATATGATGAACAAGACCACCACCTAAGCCAAGAGAGAAATACACAAAACACTAGGCTACAGTGAGATAAAGAAAGAAAAATAAATAAAAAATCTGAAATGACTATGATTACAGAGTGTTGCAGGGAAAGAGAGAAAGTGCAACTATAATGTCAAGACTTATAACCAAAATTAATTTTATAATGTCAGAAAATAAATTCTGGGTATAATGTATGGAAAGAAATAGATGTGACATACCAGGAAAGAAATATTATAAATAATATACTGATATGCCAGGAGAGAATTAATAATTCTGATATCGCTCGCAACTGGGATCAAACCTGGCTTACTGGAATTATGAAACCCATTCACAAATGCCTAAACTATAGATGCAAACCAAGCAAGCATGTCATAAAGGGTCACTAATTAGGGATTTGCTGAAATCAAATGGATTGGACCAAAAGGCACAGATATTGCAGCCTAGCTGTAAACCACACCACACTGCACCACCACATATTTAAGGTCAAATGCTAAAAAAGAAAGGAAAAAAAAATACACTGTAACAAATGTTTACTTTCATCAATACTGGTGTTACTTGTGCCTATAATTCTTATCTGACTACTTCACTGATGCAGACTATAACATTTCTCTTCTTGTTTCAGGCCTACTCTCTACAGTTAAATGACTTTCTGGCAGCTCTGGTGTGATCCTATTAACTATATGGTTTATTTATTTATGTTTCAATAAGCGAACTGTAAACATACCAGATATGGCAAAAACCGTAGACAACAGCTTGATTTTCAAGAAAATCTCCATTTTCTCCATAGTAAACGGGTTCCCCTTCATTATTATTCAGATAACCTAATACAAAGCCAGTTGGCAAATGATGCACTTGATCCTTAATCTCTCTGAGATCATTCAATCTGCAGAATGCTGGAAACAAAAGAAAGTACAAAAAATTACATGCATTGCAATGGTCATATCATATTCCTAGAATATAGGAGAATATAAAAGATAAAGAGTATAAAGAAGGTATAATAATATAAAAAAAAAAAAAGAGAATATTTAGAAGGTATATGAAAATATGAAAGATGAGAATATACAGAAGCTTTATAAAAATATGAATAATGAGACTTTCTGAAAAGTACATGAAAATATGAAAGATTAGAATATACAGAAGGTATATGAAAGATGAACATGTATAGAAAGTATATGAGAATTTGAAATCACATGGTATAGATGTTTCTGTATTTGTTAATTTTATTCTCTGTGTGTGTAATCTGGTAATCTGGTAATTTTAATATCAGCTTCATAGCAAACGGGTCACCCCATCTTTGCTCGGCTCCTGTGCCAATGAAAAACACACAGAATGTTTATCACAGTCCATGTGGAAAGACAAACTGCTGTGTCAGCAAATCTACCTTGTGTGTGTGTGTGTGTGTGTAAGTGTGTGTGTGTATGAGAGAGAGAGAGAGAGAGAGAGAGAGACAGAGAGAGAGAGAGAGAGAGAGAGAGAGAGAGAGAGAGAGAGAGAGAGAGAGAGAGAGAGAGAATTATGTGGTCATCTCTAGATGCTGTAATCAAAACTGGCTCTTTTAAATTATTGCTGCGAATCCTGGACAATTAGTAAACAAGCCAAACAATTTCTTGAGGCTTTAGAGATGTAGTTTTACAGAAGAATGCTTACAACTCCTTGGGCAGCAAGAATGAGGAATCCAGATGTCTTGAAACAAGTGATGACCCAAAGACAATTTATCATAAGTATAGGAACAAAGTCATAATATTTTGACAGCGGTTATGAGAGGAAAGAAACTGGAACAAGTTATGATGACTGGCAAGATTTATGGAAAGAGATACAGAGAAAGACAATGCAAAGTGTTTGGTTACAGCATCAAATGATGCCATTCTACAAGCTGATACACTAGCATGGCAACACATTCTGAGCTTGAATTGAAAGCTGCTGAAGAAGTCAAACTAAATGAACACACAGAACCTTATATCTCCTTTGACATCCAAAATGGAAGAAGAGAAAGGAAATCAAAAACACACAGTACAATGCGATATCACAATGGAATTGAATGCACAGCATGCAAGCATTATTTTTTTTTCACTGCCACAGGAGCGGAGCAACTATGGAGTGACCCTTTGCCATGAAGCTGAAACTAAGATTACCAAGATTACCGGGTACTCATGGTTAGTTTGGCTTTCAAAGATATTTTCAACATTTTCTAAGAAACTCATCTCTGCAGCCTCCAAGCTTACATTCCAAGATCATTTGCCATCATCAGAGTATGTTCCATAGAATATTTAAGTACTCTCCTTCGGAGATATAATGAAAGCAACTTATATCATGAAAGTGACTTATATAATTAAGTGACTTTTTACACACAATTATTTCACCCTTTGAACTGCAGCCAAGTCTTAACCTCTGCTTACATTACCCATTTGATAGCATGACTATCCCCAAATATTCTTTGAATTTATTTATTTAACATATTTCCTTCTGTCACAATATCCCACTGTACTGTGTGTTCACTTTCTATTTGATTTGATCTCAACAGTCTCGAATGCCAGCCCATCTTCTGCTGCTGTATTAGTGTCCGTCTGTCTCATATCTGCTACTTGTATGGTTTCAGTAAGTAATGGTATTGCTTGTTTTTGTTCACTGACTGTAAACTACGTTAGTGTCCGTCTGTCTCATATCTGCTACTTGTATGGTTTCAGTAAGTAATGGTATTGCTTGTTTTCATTCACTGACTGTAAACTACGTTAGTGTCTCTCTGTCTCATATCTGCTACTTGTATGGTTTCAGTAAGTAATGGTATTGCTTGTTTTTGTTCACTGACTGTAAACTACGTTAATGTCTCTCTGTCTCATATCTGCTACTTGTATGGTTTCAGTAAGTAATGGTATTGCTTGTTTTTGTTCACTGACTGTAAACTACGTTAATGTCTCTCTGTCTCATATCTGCTACTTGTATGGTTTCAGTAAGTAATGGTATTGCTTGTTTTTGTTCACTGACTGTAAACTACGTTAATGTCTCTCTGTCTCATATCTGCTACTTGTATGGTTTCAGTAAGTAATGGTATTGCTTGTTTTTGTTCACTGACTGTAAACTACGTTAGTGTCTCTCTGTCTCATATCTGCTACTTGTATGGTTTCAGTAAGTAGTGTTGTTGCTTGTTTTCATTCACTGACTGTAAACTACGTTAGTGTCCCTCTGTCTCATATCTGCTACTTGTATGGTTTCAGTAAGTAGTGTTGTTGCTTGTTTTCATTCACTGACTGTAAACTACGTTAGTGTCCCTCTGTCTCATATCTGCTACTTGTATGGTTTCAGTAAGTAGTGTTGTTGCTTGTTTTCATTCACTGACTGTAAACTACGTTAGTGTCCCTCTGTCTCATATCTGCTACTTGTATGGTTTCAGTAAGTAGTGTTGTTGCTTGTTTTTGTTCACTGACTGTAAACTACGTTAATGTCTCTCTGTCTCATATCTGCTACTTGTATGGTTTCAGTGTGTAGTCCTGTTTTTTTTTTATTTTTTTTATTGATTTCCAGAAATTGGCTTTGTTCTAGGACATGTGTTTATGTGTCCAACTGTTTTACAGATCTGTACTATTTGTGTGCAGTCTGTTGCTCCATTGCCTACCAAGCAGATGTACTCTGACTTTGAATGAATTCAAGTAATGGGTGCTATGCTAGCTATTCTGCACATTCTGTATCATTAGATTTAAAAAACTACAAGGAACTACATCTGTTTTTTTTAACTTAAATAACAGTGAACTAGTTGCCTATTATGGAGGGAAATAATAATTTATGTTGTTATATCAAATTACTCATCAGTAACGAGTTTCTGCAACTTTTCAGTTGTGAGATAATCTAGCTAAATCTCTGAGCAGTTTAACTCTACAGCAGAAAAAAGTCTTAGTTGTTATATTATATATGGCAAAGTCTCTCAAAAACATAATTTATAGTGAATATTTAATCTGGTGATTTTGTTCAAAAACTTCAAATGTCTATGTGTGATAACTTTTCGTCACACCTAAAAACAAGTGTAGTTTCAATTCATCTTTACCAGATTGGACAGTGCTTTGAAAGATGAGTTCTATAACATATTTATATGAAAAATATATTACAATTTCAGCCTGTTTCTCCTCAATGTGAGTGATTTTGTGTTCAGTCAGTCTTCTCACAGTCAATATAATAATAAGGCACAGGTTTTACTAAAACTATTCCTGAAAAACAATTACATTTTACTAGAACCATTATGGATTATAACAAGGTATTGTAAAAGAAGTTTCTCTCTCTCTCACTCTGTCTCACTTCACACACACAGAGACATACAACCATGCACGCCCGCGCACCCACACACCATGTGTTTGTGTAAGTATAAAATGGAGTCAGCAGAATTTAAACATCTAATACTTACGGATATCTGTAATGCAGGCAACAAATTGAAGAATAGCGAAAGTATAACTTTTTGTTGGCCCATTAACAGCAATAGTTATTGTTCCGTCTTCGGTAAATTCAGTGTTGACTAGGAAGGTGCCAGTTTCATCCTATTTTGATAGGAAAATTGTGACAAATAATCAAAAGAATTAAACATTTACAGCAGGTTTATTTAATCTCTGATTAAGTAAATGGACATGAATACACTGGAGACCAGTTCTTTACAAATTTATATTTACAAAATTTCAAAATCATATACGTTAAATACTTTTTAAAATGAGAAATTGTTGAAATTTACTTCTGAACAACAAATCTAGCACTGACAGTTAATTTACTTATATTTCAGTGAAGAATTGTGCACATGGAATTTACAATTCATGAACTATTGTGAATTCTTACCCGAGAAATGTTTCTTTCAGGTTCGTCGCCTACAGTAACTGTCAGGGTCACTGATAAGGACGGGTCTGCATGTGAAACTACGATAACTTTACTGCCAGCTGGTAAGTGTATAGTATACCAGAAGAAACCACTGCCTTCACTGACAGTAAACTCATAGTTTGTTTGTTTAGCATTAGGAGATGTATACTCCACTATTGGTAAATCGTCCCGTTGTTCTTTTGTCAGGTCAACCAGATCTTTGCATTCTGAAAAAGGCAAAAAGATAAATAATTATGACTTTTAAACACAGAAACCTTGGAGTAGCATGAAAAGTACAGCACCCTTTTCATGATTCTAATACCTCAAACACACGGTTGGCAAAAGCTGGGAGTAATCTTCCACAACCTCATCCACCACACAGCTACAAGGAAACCAAAACAGTGCTAAAGCAGTCTTTCAAGCAGGAGTGGAGAAGGCAGAATGGAGATTACAGACCAGAGAGTGACAGCATAAGCAAACTCAATATGAAAGAACAAACATCAATTTTTAGACTTTGGACTGGACACTGTGGTCTTCGAGCACACCTGTACAGGACAGGCATAATAGAATCTGCTGCCTGTGATTGTGGAGCAGAAAGACAGACCCCTGGGCACATACTACAGTACTGCCCTTACCTCTCCCAACAAAGACTGTGGATCTGGCCCAAGGGAGCCACATTGCAAGAGAAGCTATGGGGGACCGGTGGCGACCTTAAACGCACAATCCTATTTGTGACCCAGCAGGGAATGTTTAGCATGACGATGTCGAACGCAGAAGAAGAAGACACACGGTGTTAGACCTGCATCTTTTAACAGACAGATTGGCAATCAATGATTGATCTGGTCAACACCTGTGGCTTTCACTTCCAAGGTTATTTCTTGTTATCTACCTATTTTAGACTGGTTGACATCGACAACCACTTAAATTATAAAACACTTCCTAGATTTGGATTTGAACCCCGGGCCTTTAGGCCAGCAAGTAAATGTCTAGCCACAATGCAACCACGGTTCTCTACTTTGAAGTAGGGAAACAAATTCACTCAATTAATTCAGAACATACTTCAGAACCAAATAGTGAAGACAATTCATTGAAGGCAATAAAAATTTGATCCTGATCAGAAAAAAATTGTCTGTTATCATCAATCCTTTTTAAAAGAATATGGGAATATTTATATCACAACTGTGAGGGAAAGTAAAGTCAGTTGTGCAGTGTATAAGGGTAACCTGTACCTCACCATGGGAGCCAGCTTGATCTGTACTGGTTTTTGTGTGTGGTGGTTTTACGGACCCTCATGCAAGTCTCCTGCAAATGGCCTTGTTGTGCGCCCTGGTAATTGGCCTATGTCAACCTAAACAGAGCTGGCAGTGAATTTTGGAGCTGCTGCCCCATCTCCCCAGAGATGCAATGTCAAGACAACCTCTGGCACACATCAGCCAACACCTCCCTCTCCCCTCTTCCGAAATTAACGGGTAACAGCCTCTACAGAGATCTTACTGTACAATGGAGTAAGGCTCCTCCTATATGACAAAGGTTGAAATGCCTTTTGACAAAAAAGTCCTACAGTATAGCAATAAAAGGTTTGCATTTCTTTTCATCACATTTATTCTAAAGAGAAAGGGAGGTTATTCTTCATACATGGTAGTTTAAGCTCTCTTTTCTAGTTAAGATGTGCTTTCTGGACAAGGACTGTCTGGACAGCCCACAATGTGGATGTTGTTCATTGACACTATTATTTCACTGATTATCTCATGTATAAGTAGACTCCACATAGAGCAGTTAAATTTCCCAATAGTTACCGCAATGTTTAAGTCGTTATTGCTCATTTAATTTATTCCACATATTTAACGATAGTCAACAACATAATTAATATATAAGCTTTACATCATCTCCTTGTGGGATGTACTTTTTCGTTATTTTGAAGCCCAACTCTAGCTGCTGCTGGGAGCCCTAAATATAGTGTGATGGCTGAACAGGGTTTTCGGTGGCACTTTGTGTCACCAGGTGTTTATCGCTTGTGTGATGTCCTGGTGGGGGACAACTTACTACTACTTCAACATTATTACATAATAATCTACTTTTAGATAGGTGTTACTAATTTGATGTAGAATTTTTCTGGTATACAGTTTTCAAATAACCCTTTACAGACTGCATGGATTTCAATGACCCAACATAGTGAAATGTCTCCTAACCATATAACTACAAAACATGTATATGAACAAAACACAGTACCTGGAGAACTTGGTGTTTCTGAAGGTTTTGAGCTAGGTGTAGTCCTGATTGCTTCTGTCAATGAATAAATGCCATTATGATGTTAGAAACTAATCTACACAAGTATTTCACAATTTTTTTTCTTTAATAACTACTATGCTTATATATTATAGGTACAAGAGCACATACAACTACATCCATTTTGGTATTCTACTTGATTATATCATCTATGTCACCTTGAACACATATCTTAAAATATCAGACTAAAATGTTGGAGATCTTAAATGAAAATGATAGTAGATCAGCTACCACACATATTTAGAAAAGAAACTGATCAGTGTGAGAGGAATAACGCAGAATAATGATACAACTGATATATGACTAGTAGACAAAAAACACGGTGAGGAAATGTATACTAAGTAAGAAGTAATCCATTAAATGAAGATACTTGCTTGGTACAGAATAAGTTTACAAGTTAACATAAAATTGTTTCTAATACCATAAATTTTTAGTAGGGCTGTACAAATATAACAACTACTGAGTGAATGTGCACTGGTAAGATGTTATTCTCGATTCATTAAAACAAATTAATTTTGTATAATTATGGCAGAATTAATTTGTCTGCTAAAAAGTTGTTTTTTTTGTGTGTAATGGTTCAACATTAAAATTTGCACTGCACAATTCTACAACACTTTGAAAACTTAAATGTGTAGACAGCGTACACCTCCAATATAAACATAACGACAGCTTTTAAAATAATTTTTGTAAACCTAAGTATTCCCCTTGAGCACAGACATCGTGTGTGTTCCCTAATAAGAAAAAAACCAGTCTCTAGCTATTAAAGTACCCTATGATTTCAAGTGCCAGGGAAAAGCTAGTATTCCATATCAAACAAGAATATATGCAACAAGAATATCATTGAGTAGATAACTTGGCAGCACTTGGGATCAACAACTAGCAACAAGAACAGTTAGTAATGGAGTATGTTTACTACATTTTACCTGAACATGCATGATATACTGCAATGCTGTTTTTAGGTGCAATAAAATATTTTGCTTCATTTGGTTCATTTCTGCCAGAGCTTCCATTTATTTGCTGAAAAATTTAAAGAAAAAAAAAGTCACCAAAAGACATAAAATCAAGGAAAAACATAACAACTGTATCCAAATATATTTATTTGCACATCTTAAATAAGTGTCACTCTTCACCACTATGTGGGATTTTGTATGTGCAGATGTCCTTATTTTACAATTATATGCGATAATTTAGGGGTGGGGGCGAGGGAGGGTGCTCTTGGTAGTGCCGTGGCTAGAGGTTTGCCTGATGGCCTGAAGGTCTTAGGTTTAAATCCAGACCAAGTGGATTTAATTTGACTGATCTTGGTTTGATCCAACTTAAAATGGGTACCAGAAAATGCTCTGGAAAGTAAAGGTGGCAGAAATGATTCTGACCACACCACCCACTAAATTCAGGGAGGCTCCATGGCAAAGTAGTCAAGCCACTTGACTTGCACTCTGAAAGTTCTGGGTTTATTTCATGGCTGCATCATTGGGTTAGTGAGTTCAACTTTTATGGAGACCCCTAAGTATCGTTGCTGCAGCTATGGTGTTTGAACTTTGTGTGACACTCTTGGTTTGCGGTTAGCCATTCTGTTGAGAGATCAAGCCAAATGGGATAAAACCTGGTGCAATGAAGATGATCCTCTTGACTTTAACCATTGAGTGCAAACTAGTGCAAAGAAAATGAGTCTAACATCCTTCCTTCGATATATACTACTGGTAAAGAAAATAAGTCTAACATCATTCCTTCGATATAAACTACTGGTAAAGAAAATGAGTCTAACATCATTCGTTCGATATATACTACTGGTAAAGAAAATGAGTCTAACATCATTCCTTCCATATATACTACTGGTAAAGAAAATGAGTCTTGCATCATTCGTCCGATATATACTACTGGTAAAGAAAATTAGTCTAACATCATTCCTTCGATATATACTACTAGTAAAGAAAATTGGTCTTTTAAAATTTTTTTTTACTTTACATGATGGTTAGGTTCACCATTTTTTTAAAAGCCCACTGCTTGTTGAAATACATGAGTACATGCCTGTAAAAATGCAACAATATCCATTTATTAATAATATCCCTAGCACTCTCCACATCCTTGGCTGTTGCTACTTCAGTGTAATAAATGTCTGAAGTGAAGGGTAAACTCAGCAGTTGTAATGATAGAAAGGGATGTAGTAAACATTCTTTGAGTCAGAAGTTGAGTTAATTGGGATAATAAAGTGGCTTCATCAAAAAAGCTATCTGGGATGAAAAGAGTTAATGTTTGCAATATGTGTGCAGATTTTCTTATGCGTTAAAATCCTTATCCAAGCAGGCTAGCCACTGGATCCAATATGCCATAATCAGGAGGAGTGAAAATCCTTTGGGCACCAATATTTTGTTTAAAAAAAAAAAAAACATTTGCCACACCATCTCAAACTGAAGTCAAACAATTGGAATTAAAAAAAAATAAAGATGTTAATAAAAATTGCTGCAGATATACAAACCTTAGCTTCTAGTATCACGTGAGGGATTGTAAAGTTTGGTGAATAGTCTACACCTGGCGTTGGGACAAAAAAAACACAATGGTCCCATTGCCGTCTTCTTTAGTAGTCACAAACACAGCTTTAGTTGGTTCTGAAATGAAATAAATAATTTATAAGAATTATTTAGAGTAATGTGATGTAGCACTATATAGGTATATAACATTAATTTATTGTGTTACAAACTTCTTACATATTTATAACTGCTACGTGTGTACCTTTAGTTTCTGGACTTTCATCCAAAGCATACCAAGACCTATGTGACTTTTCATGATTAGTTGGATTTACAGCTAAAGTTTTCTGTGTGACAAGGTAGCCAGTTTTAGGCCAACCTTCCTTAGCAGCTTATTATTTTATTCACTGATGGTTCCAGTATTACTATCTGATGCTTCCCAAATAGACCTCAGTAACATTCATTCATGAATTCACTGTTCTGTTGTATCACATAGAGCTCACAATCTATTGCTACATTTTGTTCTATCCTTGCAATCAATTCAATATTATGAGTGAAATCTAGTACAGCACCTTTACTCTCTCATAGCAACATTAGTTTTAGGGTTGCTTTTGGGCATTCTGGCCTCCTTATTCTCTTTATTTCAAACTTTAGTGCCTGTTTAAACGGAGGATTAGACTGCAAGCCCTATGTGATGTATAACAGCAAAACAGAACAATGAATGAATGATGAATGAATTAAAGAATCTAGTGAAGAGAAAAATGTTTGATGACAAATAAGGATGGGGCTTCACTGTATGTTGTATGTTGATGAGTGGAATATTCTCGAACATCTACTGTAATAGTAAGTGTGTTTGACAGAGAGAGCACAGCATGTTTGTGTGTAAAACCCCTAACTGATTCCATTATACAACAGATTCACATCACAAATGGCCATAACCTAATTTGGCAAATTAACTATTTCTGCAATTTGAGCATATATGTTTGATGATACCATTGATGTGGATTATACAAACACCTTACCGTTGAAGTTATTTACGGCCTCCATGTTCTCTGGAGCTGTGGGTGGTAAATATTGAAAAACAAATAAATATTCTGGCCAGTTAGTTCAATGAATGTGTATTACAATAACAGTATACACACACACATACACATTGATGTGCACATTGAAAATGTTATAAATACACATGTGTCCTAACATGCACTATACTCTGTATGTCTGTGTTCAGGTGTACATGAATATTTTGCTCATGCCTTGACTTCCGACTTTAAAAAGTGAAAGGATTGTCATTTTAATTCAACTGTATCACTGATTTTCTTTTTCTGGTATGCTAACACAGGTTTTCTGGCTACAGCATTCATTTGGTTCTTGATTGTTAAGACGAAGAAGGGGGTGTAGTTTGGAAGCTGACCAATTAAACTTTCCATTTTCTCAGTTTTTTTTTTTTTAACTTCACTTAACACTTTTGCCACAGCAACGCTAAACAAAATGGACAACGGCCCAATAGTAATTCTGAAATAAAATCTCATAAACATATAAAACAACAATTTGACACACATCACTAATAAATGTTTTTAAAAGTACATCTTTTTTTCTCCCAAAATATATAAAAGTATATAAAGAATCGAAAAGGATGAACATACAAAGGGAGTAATCAATAAGGATGAACAAAGTGAAGCATGAAATGCAATACATTCCCTTGGGCTTGAAAATATATGTATCACCTGACTCATGCTGTGAACCCGTAACCTCTACCGCTTAAACTTACAGGAAAATAACCCATGATGAAAGAACACCCAAAATGTATGGTTAGTTAATTAATTTACATCTCGACCTCATAAGCTTTATGGAATTGTGAAAACAGTCAAAAACACCTAATTATAAATCTCATAAACAGGTCACTATAGACAAGTAGGAAATGTGATTTAACAGGGAATGTTTGTTTTGCAGCTTCTCTGGGCCACAGAGTTGAAATACATTTCAATACACTTCAAAAGTTGCAATAAAATCAAATTACATATGTGAAACAATAACAAGGACAACATGAATAATTTCTTATGAACTTTTCACATATAATAGTATGGAGCAGGGCAGATTATTTACTAATGCATTGACCCACCAGGTCAGTTGTTATACAGACATAACATGCTTTAAAGATAAAATACTACCGCAGTATGAAAAATGAGTGTTTGCAAGGGCTGAAAGTAAGATGGAGCTGTGTGCCCTATTTAAGACTGTTAAAGTTTGTTTGTTCATTTGCTCATCTTGGACTGAAATCTCCTTTAAGGGGAAATACTTTATCAGCCAAACGCTCAAGAAAGACTCAGACCAGTTACATTTTCCTTCAATGTAGGAGTACATCTCCCTGAAAGGAAAGGAACCTACAGTCTGCATACAAATAAGCCAGATCTGTAAAATGGATGTGCATGCACAACTCAGATTCTGGAACAAAACTAAAGTTGAGAATTGGATGAACAACTAGAACTTCCCACCAAAGCTTAGAGTCAGTGAATGCGAAGAAGAACAGGAAGAAGAAGAAGAAGAAAAAGAAACAAGTCTCATAAAATGGGCATCTAAGAATGTCACTGGGATTGATACTGATTACATGACGTGCTGAGTGCCACTTGGTGAGCACAATCAAAGGACAGAAAATAAGAACAGTATAAAATAATTTAAAATAATGGCATGGAAATGAAGCATGAAATTTAAACATGGTTTTTCCTCTTCTACCATGTATATAAATTTTGCAATAATGTTCTTGCGTAAAGATACAAACAAAATATACGTACTATTAGGCAACTCAACAGCTAGAGGCTCTCCATTACCAAAGATGCGCTGTAATATGTATTTTAAAAAAAACACAACCTTTAAGTAAAGAATTATTGTTAAGTATCATTTTCTCATCAAGTGGGATTACTTCTTTTATTAGTTAATGCTGTTTATCTAATGCAATTTTTTAGTTGTGATGCTAGATGCACCTTGTATAACCACATCCCCCCCTCCTTCTCCTGAAAGCTGATCAAGAATGTAGCTGATGATCTTGATGCAGCATATCATTCATCCGCATTTGCAGTTCATTCAATCTGTGATCTGTCTGCTTGGATGAAAATGTTGGCTACCGATGATTGCTTTCTTTCCTTCTTGTACAGAAAGTTTGATCTTCACTTTCCCATTATTTCTTGAAGTAAGGGGTAGCTCAGGTATCTAGTACCATGGTTTCTAAGGCAGTTGATAGGATTTTTTGTTGCTGAAAATGTGAAAAGATTGAACGACCAAGAATTTCTGTCTTCCATAACTCAACTACTCACATGTTCACAAATTCTTTGCTTTTAAATATCACAGTGTAATGAGAAAGTGAGGAAAAGGAAGAAAGGTTCCTGTCCTGACAATACCAATGTAAGAACAATACGATGATGAACAATCTAGTCAATCAGATATCCATCAACATTTGTCTACTCTACTCTGTTTAATAATATTAAAGTTTACTTCCTGGAAGAGTACTGATAACACTACAGACACAGATGAACATATAACACTTTTTTTAGGGAGCGGTGGGGGGTAAGGGGGGGGGGGGGTAAAGCAAAAGCACTTATATTTCTTGGGTAAAATATTCTTGTAATATATTTTGAGAATTCAGCAATGCTAAGTAGAGGCCAAAACTATTATAAAATACAACAAATTAAAATAATGATTCTATAATATACATATTGAAACAGTACTAATAATTGTTTGTCTGCCTTTATTGTACTATATTTGTTTCTGATATTTTGCAATTTAAAAACAAATATATTACTGAGGTGAGAACCACTTTGCATGACTTTTATAGTAGCTTTAAAAAAAATAAAATCCCCTTTAGTATTTAATTACTGAAATTGCAGTATCCCTAACATGTTTTTTTTCCCCTTTGATTAATTAAATATCTTTTTTAGCTCCCACAAATCCCCCCTCCCCCCCCCCCCCCCCCCCACAACCCCCACTCCTATAAAACAGATGTTCAATTTGTAGCCTAAAATTACTTAACACACAATGTCTACAACAAGTGAGTATGAACTTACATCACTTCTGGTATAAGTCAAACTGTATACACTCTGATTCTCTGTAACATTGCTGAATGCAACCTCTATGTATTTCTCTTGATTCTTAATCAATATCTGGCCACCTGATGACTGAGAGGTCTCTGGGGTAGGTTGAACGATGTTGCTCTCAGGAACAACTCCTTGTTCTTCCTCACAAGGTGTGCCAACTGTTAGAGAAAGTAATCATCACACATTATTGTACAATATCCAACTGTAAGAGAAAATAATCATCACAATGTACAGTACATTTTAGCAGTTTGTGACACAGATAGTAAGGAAAGATAAATGTATATTGCATATTTACTGATATATTTAGACAACAGTAATTATCAATAGCAATGTGTAATTTGCTGCTAGAAACATTAAGCTGCTGCTGCTGCTGAATGTAAAGGTTAAAATTAACAGTCCAAATTTATACAATTTTCAAAAATTATACATTAGACTATGCAATACCACTGGTTGTGAAAAAATACCCTGTATTTAGTAGTTTCTCTACCGCTATCTTGATGGCTTGAACTTCTGCATCATAGTTGTGACAGTGCTTTCCCGTTGGTAATTTGGCTGTATCCCTGGTATTATTAGGATACTCAATGTACACTCCCGCACCTCCGTTTCTGACTGCGCTTTCTGCTGACCCATCTGTGTAAACACGGACCCAAAGGTTCTGCGGGTATTCATCATCAAGTAGACTGAGGGTGGCTGTTTTGCGCTGCACACTGTTTTGTTCTTCCTTGTCAAATACCCCTTTCACTTCAGTCTTGATGTGTATTGCTATAAATAAACAGAGGGGGGAACCGTTTGAGGCCGTTAAATATTATGAATTAATCAAGTAACAGAAAGTATTGTGAACGGCACTCATAGAAAGAAGTAGAAAGATAGAAGAACACACTAGACAACATAAAAATCGAAAGCTATAGTTACCGTGCCGTGCCGGGAATTGAACCTGTCACCTCCAGACGGCGTCTGCGCCTCGCCATGAATACAAGTGCACTAAGATACATGGTCAACTCGGCACCCCCAAAAAAAGGTGTCTCATTCATAATATTTAACGGCCTCAAACGGTTCCCCCCTCTGTTTATTTATAGGACTGACGTATACACACCGGAACCTACCAATCAAATACCTTTCTTAAATGTTTGTGTATTCTAGACAAAGCAATAAGGTCTTACTGTGTTCGTAAATTGTTGCTGTGATTGTGATTCGACATTTGCTTCGTTAATATAAATTTCTGTAACCTATGGTGCCATTTCAATGGGTTGAAATGAATTCTGTCCGTATTCCATAGTCGTGGATTTCAAGCTGTACGATAGACATGGCCAATGAGACACCTTTTTTTGGGGGTGCCGAGTTGACCATGTATCTTAGTGCACTTGTATTCATGGCGAGGCGCAGACGCCGTCTGGAGGTGACAGGTTCAATTCCCGGCACGGTAACTATAGCTTTCGATTTTTATGTTGTCTAGTGTGTTCTTCTATCTTTCTACTTCTTTCTATGAGTGCCGTTCACAATACTTTCTTTTACTTGATTAATTGATGTGTATTGGAAACTTATACTCCTCTCTCCAGGGGGTCCGTTCTGGGACAGCATTTAAGGATCTATCAGTTGCAGGTAAATCAGTTGTTTGTCTGCCGAGCCGTTTTGCCTGGTGGATAAAACTACTTCTCTTTAGTCGTCCCAAAGCTAAATTTTTGAATCTTTCATTCATAGGGTGACTGGGCATACTAAGAAACTTTTCTGCTTGTAAAAGCATCTTGGT